GCAGCGTGTCCGGGCCCTCGGAGGGGGCCTCGGCGGAGGGCGTCAGGCGCGACCGGCATGGCTCCTACAGTGGCCCCACCTCGGTTTCCCGGCAGCGCGTCGAAAGCGTAAAGAAGAACCGGCCGCGTAAGTGCCCCACGGGGCGCCCTCGAGGCTTGGCCGCCGTTTTTTCCCGCGCGCTCGCGCCGGAACACTGCCCCCGCACGGTGGTCCCACGTCGGTGCGTGGGCTGAACGCCCCGCTGGAGGCCGCGGCCTCCCCTCCCCCAATGTAGAGGCCGGGGCTCCTTGCCCGCTTCCTCCGCCCAGTTCTCGCTCCTATTGGCCAGCGCTTCCCGTTTGTCGGCGTGGAGGGCCCCTCTCCTGGACCCTCCCCCCCTTTCTTAACTCCTCGGGCTTTCGCTTCCCGAGCCACGTGATTTCATCCTTGGGAGGGATTCTTTTGACTCGTTTCCCCTCCCCCTCCCCTCTTCCACCTTTTAATCCCCAATGTCTGCTTGCTGTGGGTTTCCTAGGAATTTCCCAGACATTCAACTGTCTGTCTTGAAGATTTCGGGCTTAATGGGAAATATGTAATTGCTCCTTGCGTTGCACCGGGCCCCCAACTGGATTCCGCGTGTGCGGGCTTCTAAAAGCTTTAACCGTTTTTCCTCTCCCGAGAATTTGGGACATCTCTCCTCCTCTCTTTTCCTTCCATCTCTTTCCAGATGTTTTCGATCCAGGAGTACTGTAGCTTTCTGGGTATTGAGGCTTTTTCTTTGGAGGGCAGAAGCCTCCTCTTCATCCCGCTAGGGGTGTTGTACACATTCTTCCCAGAATCCTTTTTATCCGTTTGCTGTCGGATTTCTTGTACCACTTGGGCATCCAGCCCAGTATTCTCTCCCCTTTAATTCAAATCTCTTTTTTGGGGCAGCCATTGTTCCTGTTGAAAGTATTGCCTGTCTTGAAAGCCGATTGTAGACTTTACAATATAGTGACATTTATACCTGTTTCAACTTGTTAAAAATTTGTATGTCGCAAATTTCTAGTGCATGGAGTCAATCATTTGCAGTAAATAATGGTGTGAGGTCTTTATTCTGTCCCTTAGCAAATGACCCAGTTTCTTTGATGTGATTTGGAGACGTAAATGTAACCGTATTTTGCTGTGAAAGATTTGGGAGTTTTTTAATTCTGCCTTTGCTCATGAAAGATTGGGAAAATTCCACTCTCAACCTGCGATTTTTTTTTGTCACCTGGTTTTTATTTTGTTGGAATACATCTGATTTTTAAGTGATAAAAAAGATTTCTTTAATGGTTTTGCCCTTTAGAATAATATCAGAGATGTGTAAATTCCTCACAATTTAGCAATTCAGAACCACTGCCACATAACGCCTTATTTGTGGCCCACGGTCACAAAGATTTTCATAGGTATTTTACTTTGCTTATATAAGTACCAATTCTTTAAAGCCCTGATAACTCATTAGCCCTCAGAGTTTTGAGATTTTATCCCACTTTACAGGTAGGAAAACGTGGGCTCCGTTTGCCCAGTGGCAAGTGGCTACTAAGTGGTGGAACTGAAATGTAAACTCATCGCAAGATTGAGACTACTGTGCTGCTAAGTGCTATGTTCTTCTTGCTCTTCCTGCCTGCCATGTTCTGTTGCAGCCCAGGGATGCTAGGTCTCACACATAATGGGGGGAAAAGTGAAAGTCTACCTTCAGAAGCTTCTCTTAACCACTGTGTTAACCAAATTGTTTTGTTTTGTTTAGCTATTTCTTCATTGTGCTTAAGACCAAGAACAAGCACGGCCTTTTGTGTTTAAGACTATTATTTGAGGTGAAGATTTCTAGCTAGCTCGAAGTTCTTCCAAATTTTGAGCATAAAAATGAACCAGGGAGTTAAATTGCAAATAATTCATATGAGTCTGAAAAGTACTACTATATGGGTAACTCAAAGGTCACTGTGAAGAACACAGGCTAAGACTGAATATTAATGGTTTTGGAACCTTTTTAAAAGGAAATAACTAGACATTTTTGTTGTGTATTCCCTTCATTGTTCTCTGATTGATAAATCATGGAAAGCCATTTGTCAGGTAATGAGACTTGCTGATGAAATAAGTGAGATGGTCTCCCCCCCACATTAGGGAGGCAGCATGTTGAGAGCTGAGCTGCCGACTGCTTTGAGCCTAAGTTTGAGAGAACCAATAAAGCCTAATAAAAATTTTCTGGGTGTTCAGAGGATTGGGCATGAGATGGTGTGCACTTTTCTTTTGGGGTTAGAAAATCTTATTACACTACTAACTATGCAGCTATTTCAGAATTCTGTGGGCACCTGGTTTTAGCCCTTTTTTGTCACTCACCCCTACCCCCACCCTGGGGAAGTATGGTTTCCAAACCTGTCTTTACTTCCCACTTAACTGCATCAGAATCATTAGGGATGAGGCTAGGCCTGTGAATGTGTAAGATGTTCATCAAAAGCTTTAGATGTCGGACAGGGCAAGATATGACAAAATAATAATTTATAAATTATCAAGGACTTGTGAGGGAGGGAGGAGCAGGGAGGGAGGGGAAATAAAGAGGACCTGGTGCCAGGGGCTTAAGTGGAGAGCAAATGTTTTGAGAATGATGAGGGCAATGAATGTACAAATATGCTTTACACAATTGATGTATGTATGGGTTGTGATAGGAGTTGTATGAGCCCTTAATAAAACTATTAAATTAAAAAAAGCTTTAGATAGGCTATGCCTCATAGGACTGAAAAATGTATAATGCAAGATTGATTTAAGATGCTGGAAAATGAATTTGGTAGTGCCATTTTCTGAGTGCTGCTTGGTGTCAGATGCCATGCTGCATATTATATGACCATTTGATTTAAGGAAATAGCTGTTTTACTTTGGCTTTTTGGGGAGCAATGGTATTGGCAAAATAGGAGCTGATGCTGGAGCCCTGTGAGACTTTGCTGCCGGTGTAGACTTCATGTACCCCCTCCTGTTTTTTGCCCAACCTTTTAAAATCAAAATAGGGTGGCTGCTCACTGGGGAAGTCTCTGGTTGGCACCAGTAAGTTCTTGGCTCCTAACTAAAAGGGTAGGTATTCGAACCTGCCCGGGGTGCTTTGGAAGAAAAGTCGGGATTAATCTGAAGTCATAGCCATGAACACCCTAGGGAGCACAGTTCTTAGTCAGCACCCATCGGGCCCCCAAGAGTTGAAGTCTACTCAACTGACTTGGTTGTTTGTTTTTTTACCCCTGAGGAGCTGTACTTGGGGTGGGGGGAGGGACTGAGGGGGCATTAGATCTATTGCTTTGAAGCCTATTGAGAATGGAAGAGGATGTTTTTAAAAATCCCATTGTTTTGTCAAATTTAAATGAAAACAAAGTAAACATGGCTTCTCACGTATGTATAACAAATGTAAAGTAGGGTCTAAAAATAGTCCAATTATGCAGCATTGTAAAACAGTACAGTGTGTTATTTTAGGGGCCTCAGTGGGCTGTATGTGTGAATCATGCATTTGGATAAGATGGTGGTTCAGTGTTGGTGCCCTGCCTTGTGTTTATTTAGGGAAATTGCAAGCAAAAAGATGTTACTAAAAATATTTTGCTTAAACATTAAAAAGGAGATAGAAGGAACAAGATAACAGATTGCAGGCTGTAGGAAGAGGACTTTTTTAGGCAATGTAAAGAATGGTATTAAACCCAGGGACAAGGGAACAATAAGTGATTCAAAATCAGTGGTGAGGAGGGTGTAAGGCCTGGTAGGGCTTGATCAAGGGCAATATAACAGAGGAATTACTGAAACCCAAGTGAAGGCTGAACATGATAGTGGGACAAGAGGAAAGTACAAGGAAATAGAGGAAAGAAGTAGGATGCAAAGGGCATTTATAGAGGTCTAAATACAGGCATGTACATATGTAAATATATTTACATATGACGATGGGGAAATAAATCTATGTGCATATATTTATAGGTTTAGTATTAAGGTAGCAGTTGGACATTGGGCTTCCACTAAAGTACTCCCTCAGTGCAAGAACACTTTGTTCTATTAAACACATTCCATGATGCTCACCTTCCCGACATGATTGCTGAAGACAAGTGGGTGCATAAACAAATGTGGTGAAGAAAGCTGATGGTGCCTGGCTATCAAAAGATACAGGTCTGGGGTCTTAAAGGCTTGAAGGTAAACAAGCAGCCATCTAGCTCAGAAGCAACAAAGCCCAAATGGAAGCACACCAGCCTGTGTGATCAGGAGGTGTTGAAGTGGGGATCAGGTATCAGGCATCAAAGAACAAAAAAATCATCATTGTGAATGAGGAGTGCGGACCCAAAGCCCATCTGTAGGCAACTGGACATCCCCTACAGAAGGTTTGCGGGGAGGAGACGGGCTAGTCAGGGTGCAGTGTAGCAGTGATGAAACATGCAACTTTCCTCTAGCTCTTAAATGCTTCCTTGCCCCCACTATTATCCCAGTTCTACCGTACAAATCTGGCTAGACCAGAGGATGTACTCTGGTACAGATAGGAACTGGAAACTCAGGGAATCCAGGACAGATGAACCCTTCAGGATCAGTGGTGAGAGTGGCGATACTGAGAGGGTGAAGGGAAGGTGGGGAAGAAAGGCAAACATTACAAGGATCTACATATAACCCACTGGTTATATGGGTGATGGGATACATCGGACAATGTAAGACATGACAAAATAATTCATAAATTGTCAAGGTTTCATGAGGTGGGGTTGGAGAGGGAGGGGAAAAATGAGCTGATACCAAGGGCTTAAGTAGAAAGCAAATGTTTTGAGAATGATTAGGGCAGCAAATATACAAGTGTGCTTGACACAGTGGATGTGTGTGGATTGTGATGAGTTGTACAAATCCCCAGTAAAATGATTTTAAAAATGGTTATTCTGATTAGCAATTTAAAAAACAATGTTTTACCAAAAATTTTTTGATATATAAATATTACTCATTTTATTGGGACCTCTTACAGATACAACAATTTGTAATTCAGTTAGATCAAGCATAATTTTATAATTGCTACCATCAGTTTCTCAAACGTTTTCTTGAACTTTTTTATATCGGTGGCTTCCCTTGATCCCCTCCCTCCATCCTATCCCCCCAGGAACCCTTATTATTATATATTATTATTTGCCATATCT